GTTGGAGAGGCACGGCAGCCACCTTTTCCGGGAGGCCGGCGGCACGGACCGGAGGCCCAGTGGAGTTTTTTTAGAAAAAGAGCCGAACAAAAAAAACAGTAGGGTCTAGAACGCCAGGCACCCCTGTGATGAATCAACATGGGGGCGGCGGATCGAATGGCCTTCGGCCCATCCCGCCAGCGAGCCTGGGTTGCGGGTGTGAAGCCTACTGGATGTTCGTTGGGATCTCGTGGGGGACATCTCGGGGGCCTCTTCGAGGCAGTTTTTAGGCCTCTTGGGGGCCGGTTTGGGCCCTCGTGAGCCTAATGGGGGCCTCTTAGGGCCTCTTTGGCGCCTCTTGGGGGTTTCCTGGGGCCCCGTGGGCGGCTCTTTGGGCCTCCTGGGGGCCTCTGGGGGCGGAAGGCTCGGAAGGTCGGTTAGTGTTTCCTCTCTTGGGCTCCTTTTGGGGGCCGTTTTGGGGGCTTTCGTGGGCAGTCTTGGGCAACTCTTGGGCCGTCTTGAGGCCCTCTAGGGCCGTGTTGATGCCCTTTTGGGGGTCCCCTTGGGCTATTTGGGGCGGCTCTGGGGCCCTCCAGGACCGTCTAGGAGCGTCGGGAAGCCAACACCTGAGGACAATCAGTGATTTGGCCCTCTTGGAGCCCTGCTGTGAAGCATCTTGAAGACCTCTTGGGGCGTCTTGGAGGGCTCTTGGACCGTCTGGGGGCCATCTTGAGCGTCTTGGGGCGATCGTTCGGCGACTCGGGGCCCTCTTGGAACGTCTTGGGGAGGCTCTCTAGGCTCTGTCGGCCCGTCTTGGGGCCCTCGTGGGCCCGAAAAAGTCACGCGACAAGATGCGGGGGAGCCCAGGGGCATGCGCCAAGCCCCGCCGAATTTTGGAAATTCTTCACGCTTCGCTTATCCCCACCAGCCCATCTCAAAACAGCAATTCTAGCGAAGCATGCCGACAGTCGTGTTTTTCAGGCGTGTTTCCGCCTGCCCCCGCATATCTCCCCTGTTCCTCCTTCCTCCCGCCTCCTTGTACATCCTCCTTGTGGTGGGAGCGGGAGAAGGACGAGGCGGAGGAGGAGGGAGAGAAAGCGCTCCTCAGTCGTTCGGGCTTCTCGTCCTGGTGTGAGTCGTTCGGGCCCTTCTTCCTGGTGTGAGTCGTTCGGGCTCTTCGTGGTGTGAGTCGTTCGGGCTCTTCGTCCTGGTGTGAGTCGTTCGGGCTTCTCGTGGTGTGAGTTGTTCGGGCCCCTCGTCCTGGTGTGAGTCGTTCGGGCCCCTCCTCCTGCCCGTCCAGAAACGACGCCCAGGCGAGTAGAGGGTCGTCCTGATGGGCTTTTCGGCGTCTTGGGTGCCTCGGGGGGGCCTCTTTGGGCCGTTTGGGATCCTCTTGGGGGCCTCCTGGGGGCCTCTTGGGGCCATCTTGGGGCCTCTTGGTGCCTCCTGGGCGCTTCTTGGGGCCATCTTGGAGGAAAGCGATCAAAGAAGAGGGGAGCTTTAATTAGCGCTGCCCCCTCAGAAGGCCAACATGGGGCCAAAACCTTAGTAAAATCAATGATTTTGGCTTGAAAGAAGAGGGGAGCTTTAATTAGCGCTGCCCCCTCAGAAGGCCAAAATGGGGCCAAAACCGTAGTAAAATCAATGATCTTGGCTTCAAAGAAGAGGGGAGCACTTTTCTGCCTCCCCCCGTCGGGGCCACAATCCTCGTGAGGGGTGTCGTTTTTTAGCCCTCCCAGGAATCGAAAAAGACCCCTCCAACGACCCGCGGGGCGCCCTCTCCAGGCCCAGGGGGAGGGGGGAGGGGGAGGGGTAAACCCCTCCCCGAAGGGGAAGAAGGGGGGTTGAGAACAGAGCGGGCTCTCTAAACCACTCACGCCCAAAGGGCTGGTGGGATTCGGGTCCTGGCCCCGTAAACAGGGATTAGGCACAGGACCTGAGGACACGCCCACTCCGGGCCCAGCGGCGCGGTGGCGGATATGTGTATGTATGTATGCATGCATGCATGTACGTACGTACGTACGCATGTCTGTCTGTCTGTCTGTCTGTCTGTCTGTCTGTCTGTCTGTCTGTCTGTCTGTCTGTCTGTCTGTCTGTCTGTCTGTCTGCATTCATTCATTTATGTATGTATGTATGTATGTATGTATGTATGTATGTATGTATGTATGTATGTATGTATGTATGTGTGTGTGTATGTATGTATGTATGTATGTATGTATGTATGTATGTATGTATGTGTATATGTGTATATGTATGTATGTATGCATGCATGCATGCATGCATGTATGTATGTATGTATGTATGTGTGTGTATGTGTATGTGTATGTGAATGTGTATGTGTATGTGTATGTGTATGTGTACGTGTATGTGTATGTGTATGTGTATGTGTATGTGTATGTGTATGTGTATGTGTATGCATGTATGTATGTATGTATGTATGTATGCATGTATGTATGTATGTATGTCTGTATGTATGTATGTGTGTATGTATGTATGCATGCATGTATGTATGTATGTATGTCTGCCTGTATGTATGTATGTATGTATGTATGTATGTATGTATGTATACATGTTAGCAGAAGATATACACCGCTTCGCATGGGATGCGGTCAGACAAGTGTTCCGCTCGTTGCTGGAACGTCTTGGATTCTGGTGAGGGGCTGCCTTAGGGCCGCCTTCGAAGCCGTCTTGGGGCCCTCTCGGACAATCTTAGGTCCCTCTGGACTTTCTTCGGCGTCTCTTAGGACAGTCTGGGGGCTATCCTGGGCAGTTTTGAGCCTCTGCGGGGGCCCTCTTGGGGCGTCTTGGACCCCTCAGGGGCCGTCCTGGGCCCTTTTGAGGCCCCTTGGCGTTCGTCGGGGCCCTCTCGGGGCATCCTGGACGGCCAGAGTCGTCGTGCCACTTCCGCGCCACCCCTGACGGATAGGCAACATCGATATGCGGCGATGTGTCGGGGAGGGGACAGGCAGTATGCCGCTCACCTTCTCGCGAGGGGCGCGCTACGTTCAGGAACGTTTGCTTCGCGCGTCGCGCTCGCCTGTTCTGGCCCACCACGCCTCGGCGCGGCACGCCAACCACGTCCCGGTCCACGAGCGTCAGCGTGCCGAGCCTGTCCCATCCCACCGCCCGGCGGAGCAGCGCGACACGGTGTCCGTGTGCGTGGCAAAGCGTGCCGCCGGGGCCGTCGCCACGACGCATTCGCCCCTCCACACTATCGAGCCCCATGGCACCAGGTTGAGATTCACATGCACATGTAACTTCCATGTGGATGAATACGTTTGTGTGTTGCACACGTAGATGTGGATGGGAATGTGCACGCAGATGCATATGCAATGCGTGCGACGGGGACGGAGGAAGAAGAATTCAGGAAAACAGGACTTCGGATGGAGGATGGGAGTACGTGATTGGGAAAAGGGTGAATCTTAAGGAGGGACCTGTGTTGAGCCAAGAACGGGCATGTAGGAGGCAGGACGCGGAGAGGAAGGAGCAGGATGAGGAGGATGAGGGAGTGGTGGGACTCAGGAGGATGAGGGAGAATGGGAGAATGGGGCGGAGGAAGGGAAGAGGATGATGTGGCACGAGGGGAGGAGTGCAGGAGGCAGGAGGCAGGACGGAAGCGAGAGGAGGGAGGAGGAAAGACGGGAGATGCGCAGAGGAGAGGACGCTGAAGGAGGATGGAGGAGAGTGGAGGGGGCGGGAGGGAGGGAGGAAGGGGTGGGCTGGCGAAGGAGGGAGGAGGGACGGAGAGGACGGACAGTGGAGGAAGAGCCTAAGGGCAATGGGGAGGAGAAGGACGACGATGATGATACTGAGGAGGAGGAGGAGGAGGAGGAGGAGGAGGAGGAGGAGGAGGAGGAGGAGGAGGAGGAGGAGGAGGAGGAGGAGGAGGGGGAGGAGGAGGAGGAGGAGGAGGAGGAGGGGGAGAGGGAGAAGGAGGAGAAGGAGGAGGAGGAGGAGGAGGAGTAGGAGGAGGAGGAGGAGGACAGGACGACGAGGATGACCAGAAGGACGATCAGAAAGGGGCGGAGTAGCAGGGGGAGGAGGGTCAATCAGGAAGAAGGAGGGCAAGGCGGAGGGAGCATCGAGGGAGGGAGCAGGGGGGCAAACGGAGAGGAGGCGAGGAGGGGCTTCTAGAACAGCTCCGGCCGGGATGCAGGGGCGAGACGGGCCTGCTGCGCATGGCTGTTGGCGTTGCGGCCGTTGCCCCCTGTGGCCGTCGAGAAAGCGGGAGGAACAGGGCAGGTGCGGAGCAGGACATGGATAATGATGATGATATAACAATGATGATGTTGATGATGATGCTGCTGATGATGATGGTGATGGTTGTAGTGATGATGTTGATGATGATGATGATGATGATGATGATGATGATGGCGACGATGCTGAGGATGTTGATGATGATGTGAATGCTGATGATGATGGCGATGCTGGTGATGCTGATGCTGATGCTGATGATAACGATGTTGACCATTATGATGATGCTGGTGATAATGATGCTGATATGGATGCCGCTGCTGATGCAGATGCTGATGCTGATGCTAATGCTGATGGTGGTGGCAGTGTGGTGGTGGTGATGATGATGACGATGATGATGATGATGACGATCCTGATGTTGATGATGATGCTGTTGATGTTGATGATGATGATGATGTTTATGAGGATGAGGATGATGATGATCATTATGATGATGATGCTGATAATGATGATGATGCTGACGATGACGATGATGATGCTGATGATGATGATGATGATGATGCAGCTGATGATGATGATGATGATGATGATGATGATGATGATGATGATGATGATGATGATGATGATGATGATGATAAGGCTGATTATGCTGCTGCTGCTGATGACGATGATGAGCATGGTGATGCACCATCAGCATGAGCATCATTGTAATCTCTATCATAACCATCACCATCACCACCACCGTCATCATTACCATCATCATCACCACCACCATCGTCACCATGATCACTGCGCTTTGAAGCTCGGGCGCCCCGCACCCTCGAGAGGAGCACGCGGCCAAGTTTGGCGGCGAGTGCGTCGGCGGGTGGGCGCCCCACGCGGACTGCGTCGGCCCCTTCCGGTACCTCGGCATCGCTCGGATGTGTGCTTTCTGCTCGGGGGGGACCATCGAGGAACCTTTTGGGCCATCCAGCGAGCAAAAGTGTACACGCACGGAACCGACAGACGCACGGGGAGCGCACGCCCGAGCGACGGCGAGGTACGAGGGCGTCGATGGCCTGCTCCCAGCCTGCACCACGCTCCACGTGGAGCACTGGGCGTGGTGCTCCCTGGACGAGAAGTACGGGTCCCGCTGGGAGCACTGCAGGCCTCGGGTCGGAGGAGGGGGGGCACCAGAGGGCGGGGTGGTGAGCCAGCTCCTGTGCAGCTGGTTTTCCCGACGCCGGAGTCGCCGGCGCACCGCGGGAAGCCCGGGGCAGCGGGGCCGACTGCGGGCAGCTGGTTTGCTGCCCAGCTGCCAGGCGCGTTCCTCGATACATCGGCGCTTCTCCAGCTCCGGGAGGCACCAGCGAAACCAGCTAACTACCCGTGCTGATTTGCTAGCCCCCCCATGTGATATCCCCACCTTTCGTCCGACCCGAGAGGCCTTGCAACACTCACGCCGACATGGGCAAGTGGTTGAAGTCCGAGACCTGCCTGGACACTGTCGGCGACGGCGGGTGGACGAGCTCGTCCGGGAGGACCTGCGCAGAGTACTTCTATTCGGACTGGTGCACGCCCGACGGCGAGACCGGCTCCTCGTGGAACTCTAATAAGAAACAGTTGTATAACTATAGTGTTGGGCAGAGTGGCCCCCAAACAGTGTGTTCTAGCATCGTACGTGGTACAATTATGTGGTGCAAACTATGTGATGCCGTCTATGTGGTGTAATCTATGTGGTGCAAGCTATGTGGTCCAAGCTATTTGGTGAAATCTACGTGCTGCAATTTATGTTGTGCATGCATTGTTTCTTCGCAGTGAGTGTCAAGTCCACTGCTCGCGCAATCATCCCACCCACCCACCCGGAATTTGGTTTGCACAACCCATGCGCCGGCCATTGTGATGATTGCTTGGCGCTGGCTGGCGCATCGCTGGTGGTGCACAATATGTATATCTATACAGATATGTTATACAGATATGTGGTGCAATACATGTGGTGTGAGCTACGTGATGCAAGATCTGTCGTGCAATCTATGTAGAGCAAACTATGTGGTGCAAGCTACGTGGTGCATTATATGTGGTGCAGTCAATGCGGTGCAAGCGGCGTAGTGCAAGCAACAGCGGCCACATGGCGGCCAGAGCGGCCGCAGGCCAGAGCGGCCCGCAGGCCCAGGCGACGGGCGGCGACGAGGCGGCGACGGCGGCCACATGGCGGCCAGAGCGGCCCGCAGGCCCAGCCGACGGGCGGCGACGAGGCTGCGACGGCGGCCTCATGGCGGCCAGAGTGTCCCACAGACCCAGGATATAAGTAAGAACCCCTAAGTGCAAGCACTGCTTGGGGAACCATTCGGAGGTCCGCGCGGATGTCCTGGATCTGCGCTGGATCCCCCCTCCCCGGTGCGGAGCGCGCCAGGGGTGGCGCCAGAGGCGCCGCCAGGTGCTCCAGATCCAAGAAATCCGCGCGGGCCTCGGACCGTGTAGGTTTGAACTACTTTCTGCCCCTCCAGGAACGAGAGCTGGGGCAGTTTCGCCGACTGGGCCTCCGACGGTGTCTCGGCAGACGAGGCGTGCTGTCTCTGCGGCGGGGGCCTCCGGAGGAAGCCCGGCCACCCGTGGCCGCCCAAGCGCCGCCCTGCGCCGCCCGAGCCCAGCGACGGCGGTTGCCTCGAAGGCTGGCGGCCCTCCAGGGAGTGCCCCCGCGAGTTCGTGTACAAGGGCAAGAAGTACGCGGGGTGCACCGACGCCGGCAGCCAGGGGAAGAAGCAGGGCTGGTGCTCCCTGACCCCGAGGTACGACGGCAGCGTCGCGAACTGCACCCCGTGCGGCCACGGCCAGGCGTCGGGGACGAGCGAGTGGCAGAAGCGCCAGCTTCTGGAGGTCCGCGCGGATCTCTTGGACCTGCGCCGGCCCCCCCTTTGCGGCGCCACTGGCGCCGATCCAAGGAGCATCCACGCAGGCCTGATCGAGCAACACATGCTGGCATAGGTAAAACGCCGAAGAGCTCGAAGCAAAGCTGCCACTTGGCAGTTCTGCCACACATGGCCACACATGCCACAAATCTGCCAAAGAGCTCGACGCAAAACTAGGCACGCCCGCGGATTTCTTGGATCGGCGCTGGAGCCCCGTTTGCGGCGCCTCCCGCGCCGCCCCCGGCGCGCTCCGCGCGCCAGGGAGCGGGGGTCCAGCGCCCCTCCGAGGAATCCGCGCGGGCCTCCGAAAATGCTTGTGTGTGTCATCGTGTGTTGCTCGGTCTGAGGCGACTGCCGACGAGGTCAGCGGGGCCACGCTCATGCAGCAGGAACTCCCAGAGCGCGGCGCGGCGCCGCGCGCGCCAGCGAGCGCTGTGCTCCCCCTGGAGGGCGCGGCGCTCGCGCTGGCCGCCACATGCGCCGCGGCGGGCCTCCTGGCTGTGGCGCGGCGGCAGCGCGGCGCGCATGCGCCGTACCTGCGGGCGGCGGGGCACGAGCTCGCCGCGCAGGCCCCAGGGCCTGACGAACGCGGGGCGAGGGCGGTGTTCGGCATACTTTTCCACCGCCTCCTCTTCCTCCTCCTCCTCCTCGGCCTCCTCCTCCTTCTCCTAGGCCTCCTCCTCCTCCTCCGCCTCCTCCTCCCGCTCCTCCTTCTCCTCCTCCTCCTCCTCCTCCTCCTTTTTCTTCGGCCTCATACAACGCTGTGCCCACTTTCCCTCGGTATGCTCCTCCTTCCCGTCCTCGGCCTCCTCCTTTTCCTCCTCATCCTCCTCCTCCTCCTCCTTCTCCTTCTCCTCCTCCTCCTCCTCCTCCTCCTCCTCCGCCTCGGCCTCCTCCTCCTCCCTCCTCCTCCTCGGGCCTCCTCCTCCTCCTCCTCCTCCCTCGGCCTCCTCCTCCTCCTCCTCAGCCTCCTGCGTTCCTCCTCCGCCTCCTCCTCTCCTCTCCTCTCCTCCTCCTCCTCGGCCTCCTCCTCCTCCTCCTCCTCTCAGCCTTCTCCTCCTCCTCCTCCTCGGCCTCCGCGTCCTCCTCCTTCTCCTCCTACTCCTACTCCTCCTCCCCTCCTCCTCCTCCTCCTTCTCCTCCTCCTCCTCCTCCTCCTCCTCCTCCTCCTCCTCCTCCTCCTTCATCTCCTCCTCCTCCTCCTCGTCCTCCTCCTCCTCCTCTCGTCGTCCCCTCCTCCTCCTCCTCCTCCTCCTTTTTTCTTCGGCCTCATACAACGCTGTGCCCACTTTCCCTCGGTATGCTCCTCCTTCCCGTCCTCGGCATCCTCCTTTTCCCTCCTCCTCCTCCTCCTCCTCCTTCTCCTCCTCCTCCTCCTCCTTCTCCTCCTCCTCCTCGGCATCCCTCCTCCTCCTCCTCCTCCTCCTCCTCCTCGGCCTCTTGCTCCTCCTCCCTCGGCCTCCTCCTCCTCCTCCTTCTCCTCCTCAGCCTCCTGCGTTCCTCCTCGGCCTCCTCCTCGGTCTCCTCCTCCTCCTCCTCCTCTCCTCCTCCTCCTCCTCCTCGTCCTGCTCATCCTCCTCCTCCTCAGCCTCCTCTTTCTCCTCCTCCTCCTCCTCCTCCTCCTCCTCGGCCTCCGCGTCCTCCTCCTTCTCCTCCTACTCCTCCTCCTCCTCCTCCTCCTTCTCCTCCTCCTCCTCCTCCCGTAGCCGTTTGGGCTCAAGATGCACGACTTCCGGAGGACCCAGCGGAGACCTCTGATCCGAGGCTAGACCACAAGGTTACCTCCACACGATCCCCTCAGTGAGCTGCCCAGCGGCTGAGGGCTCCGTTCCCACCTTCAGCTTCTTTTCAGAGCACCCGCGGCTGCTGGTAAATTGAGACATTTCCAGTTCTTGCGGTGCGCAGGTGCTGATACCGGCTATGGCGAGGACTACGCTTGTCCTGCTCTCGAGAACATGGGCAGACGCGGATCCAAGAAGATCTCGAGCTAGGAGGAGCTTCACCGAGGCGCCGAGTGGTACGAACTCCGCGAGCACCAGGAGAGGCACTTCGAATTTCACGGTGATCGCCTCCGCTGCCGTCGGGAAAGCGGTGAGAGCCATGAGCGCCGTGATCGTAGTCGCGCGGCATCTTACAAATTTTCAAGTTCGAGCGTGGAGAGGGACCCCAATCCAGCTGGGCGGCACGGCCACCCCTACGACCACAGCTTCTGTCACACCGGACGTGGTTCTGAAGTGGGTCCCAAGCTCATGACCACAGCTAGGGAGAGTAACGGTTCCATCGCCAGACTCCAGCAGGACATGCAGCAAGACGTCTACCAAATGACAACCCATGACACCAACGTCAGGTCCATGAGCGACAGGCCGATCGCAGTGGAAACCACGCCATCTACCATCAACAGCAACATCGAGTCTGCGGTCAGCGAAGCCATCAACTCGCAGATCGGCGCCAGCCAGACGCAGCTCAGCGCGCCTCATCATCAGCAAGCCTCCTCCACGACAGGGTGCTCAGCCTGAGGATGCTCAGACAGGCCCGCCATCAGACAGCTGTCGGCGCTGGATTGGTACCTTCCCTCGCTCTCTCACCCACTGGGACACGGTGGTCGCACCCAGGCCCACCCAGGAGATCCTGGACAGCGCTAGCAAGACGATCTCGCGAGCTGCTACATGTTATTCAGCGTCTTCTCCTTCAGATGGCCTGGCCAGCAGCTTCGGCATCATGATCTATCCGATCGGAACATCGACCGGCCTGTCCCCATGACGCAGCAGCACCACGTCATCAGCGCGCGGTCCGACATCCCCACGGGCGTCCGCCAGCGCCAGCGCGCGGCCACCGTGACTTGGCCGGGCACGTCGGACCTCCTCGAGAAGGGCGGCCAGCCGCTCACCAACTTTTAAGCTTGGCGGCCACGGCATGCAGGGCCTAGTCCGCCTCAGCAGCGCTTGGCATCGCTCGGACGTGTTGATTTTTCCTTCGGCGAGGACTATCGAGGAGCATCCTTGATCACTTGGCGAAAAAACCACGCACGAAACCAACAAAAAAAAGGGAATGGACGTCCGAGCGATGGCCAGAGCGAGGGCGACGTCTGCGAGCTCTACTGGATCCGAGGAACAGTTCAGAAGGGCTACGTGCACAAGCCCGATTTCGAGAGCCTCCAGGCTTGCAGTGTGTCGGCCAGGGTCGTCACTGACCTTCTGGCGCCACCTGTGGTGACTCAGGGGCTTCCCGAACGGGATCCGTTCAATTTTCTCGCGCTGCACGGGGCGCCGTCTCGGGCGGCAGTGGCGGCGGTGAGGCATCGGGTTCGGCGGCGGGGAGTCAGCCTTCCTCTCGCGATAGCTCGCAGCAGGCAGGTGCACCGCTTTCGGATTCAGACTCGTGTCATCTTTCGTCCAACAGGGCTCCCGAGGGCCCTGTGCAGCTTCAGTCGCTTCACTCCTTTTCCTCCTCCTCCTGCCCACACGTCATCTGCCCCTGGAAGGGCGCCCTCCAGGGGTGCGTGCCCGCGGCGAGGGTTGCCCTTTCTAGGGCCGTGCGCCCACTGGGCGAGAGCGCAGGGCTCGCGTCCAGAGGT